GAATCATAGTTAGGGGTTTTTTATCATGAACTCACATCAGCTATAATGCCGAAACACTATTTAGCCAAATGGATGAGTTAATTTTACGCAAAACTCCAAGAATTAGTGTCTGAAATCTGATTGGTTTGTCCATAATTTACAGTCCTGCAATGTTTTTATTAATCTCAAGCACTTAAGGGATCAACTCCGCCTGTAGCTCTTCGAGAATTACTGCCCATCCCAAGTCCGGATAAAGGAGAAGGGTTGAGCAAACACATCCCGTAGAAAACTACCTTGCGAAAAAACACTAACAAGACTAGACAAATTAAACCATTTAACTCTGTCCTTGCAGTTGAAGGAACAATTATGACGCCATATGATGAGAGCCTAGATTCTTCAGTAGTCATGAGGCCGATGCCTCTTCTAACAACCAGAGCAACAATTAATATAGGTAGATGGAATGTTCGGACAGTGTGGGAGACCAGGAGAATTAGTCAAATAGCTGGGGAACTGAGGATAAATAACTTGACGGTTCTCAGAATAAGTGAAACCCATTGGATCCAAGCTGGACAGAAAAGGCTAGATACGGGACACATGCTGCTGAGCTCTGTTAACGAGGAGAAAAATGCTACACAGACTCAGGGAGTTGCTAGATTGATACTGTTTTAACTTGTTACTTGTGTGCCCTGTTAATGTATAACGTAACGATACCGTCAATTCGAGAGCAGCGAATTGTCGATCGGACCAAGGACGCATAAAACACGTACGAGCAGCCTAGAGTCCTGATTGGTCCTGCTTTCCGCTTAGCCCAGGCATTTAAGTCCAGAACGCCAGTCTCAGCCTCTGCAATATGAATCCTTATATTTCAAACATACTCGATTTATATATCAACCAGATAGAACACAACGTACCATAAGATAGGAGACAACATTTATATAAGATTTAGCCAAATGTGGCTGTGAATAAGAGGATACCTCATCAAGATACCAAAGAAAGGAGATTTTAGCAAATGTAAAGACTGCAGAGGAATCACACTACTATCGATACTAGGAAACGTTTTCAACATAGTGTTACTGAACCAGATGAAAGATTCAGTAGATGTCGAGCTTCAGGAACAACAGACCGGAGTGAGGAAGTTACCACATAATGGCACTGGATCTTAAATTGAGTGGGAGTGGAAAATTGTAAAATTTGTATACTAACTTCTTTTTCTGGTTAACTTTAAGTAGCTAGAAATACCATAAAAGCTAGTTATAAATGCTGGATTTAAGCATATAGTTCATATCAATTATATATGTAGGATCTAACTTGCGTAAAGATGAATTTCTGTGGTACGTCCCTGTACAGTCTTTACAATTGTATAAGTAACTATCTATAACCTGTAATAGTACAGTCAATTAAGAAAAAAAGGGACAATAATTAAAGTCAACCGGTTATCAGTAAAAATATCGAAAAATGAATCGATGGAAGGGTTAGTCATATTTATAAAAAGAGTACATGTATAACATTAAAACAACCGTAGTTCCAGTTTATTATTCACACCCGATCCTGTAGTGATGATCAATTTTTCATGCATTCCCCCCTTTTTGTTCTCATCAAACCTGTCACCTAATAATTTTAAAAATGGTATAGTCGGTTATCATTGTCTAAAGGCAGATATGAAAAGTTAATCATTTCTACAGTAATTACTGTTTCAGTAACAATGAATTCTAATAGTTATACCATCATTAGTTTAGATTCAAGCTATGGCCAAAGATAAACTGTTTTTCAGTAGTTTTGCGTATTCGGAAGAAAAATATTCACCTATACTTAATCAGCATATATTTGGATAACACATAAACCAACCACTACTTTATTTACTCAAGATTTATGGCCATACTCCCGAAATCGCCGTAAGCCCAATTTTGTGATTGATAGATAACAAAAAAACGAGTGGTTTGAGATCAAACTAACTTTCAAGTGACGGGTGTTCAGCTTAAATATTGTAGTAAACAAGAACACGAGTGGGGACAACCGAATGTATTCGAACACAGAATTACAAAATATCTCACTAAAATCTGAGAACCATATAGTAAATACTTAATTTGCAAAAGATCAATCCATCGTCTCAAACTTGACTGTTCCTTCTGCAAATATCAGTCCATTGTCTCAGATTTCATTGTTCATGCACGTTCATACCAACTGCTCTCCGTACCCGTTCTTTCCCTCTCGGTCTTCCACTGAAATAGCCCACGTCACAATATCACTTGTTGATTCACCCTTAATGATCAGGATAAACGACAAATATTGCCCAATTATCATATTCAAACTAATAGAGAGTAGACTTGACAAATAAAAATCACTTAAGCATAATCCTATTTTTGTTATCTCTATCCAAACAAATGCAGGTAGCACTCCAACTAGATTTGTAGAAAATTTCCATGCTAAGATAACTAACCTCATTTCCCAGTCTATCAATATCGTTGATTAGTATGACTTAGAACGAGTGTATTTTACTGATCACATCTAAGATCCTTTTCATAGACTGATTTTATCTTGAATGTTAAAATCCCCAATGGGGTTGCTAGTGATTGACAAAACATTGTAGTGTATACCTCAATGTGGTGGTTGGGCTTGCCTGTCGTGGTAAACTGATCAGATTATACTGGCTGGAACAATGATTGCTCAAGGTCCTACCATGCTAGACAGGTCGGTTGAAGAGCTGTAAGACTAAAAGCAGCAAACCCAAGGTCCGAAGAAGAAGCCGTACTGCTGACTGCACAGAGGTGTGACGGGAGTAAGGTGTTCCTCTCAGACAACCAGCATAACAGCGATGCTGCCTTCCCACAAGGAAAGGTGGGGTTAGAAAAGGTCGACCGTAAAAATGCACATTCCACCTTATCCCACGGATATCCATTTCGTGAAATAAGGTCTCAAGAACTACGGAGCTAACAAGGAGATTATTCACAAAAAGGTCGTGTGTGACCGACCTTAAGCAGTTGTACCATGGGCACTGTGGTTACACTCTAAGGTCACTAAGACCACCTCTAATCCAATTTTCTTTTCAGATACCTACAGAACCCCCAAATGCCCTGGTACGGCCGAGAGTGAGGAGAGTCCACTCTCCCTCTAGAAATGCTCTCGTATGGCCACGCGTATATAGCCTCTGCCAGGGAAGTCCTACTCACTACCTTCTCGTACCACGGGTGTTGTTTGCGAAAATAAGAGGACGAAAAGCGAATGTCCGGCACTTTAACCGGGTTGGTGGGCACGGAGGATCCACTTAGGGGAGTTGGAATACCCTGATTCCAAACCAATGATGCACATGGGCTGGCTGCAGTATTCTGAAGGAACAAATGGCGTATGAACCAATCGTTGGTCACCGGCTACCATGGAACTTCATCTCTTTACGTTGCTCCACTTCCTTGTGGATCAGACCTTCAGGTCGAAGGCTCCGAGTGTGGCCCTCTAAGAAAACCGCCTGCTTCGGTTGAGGCACTCGGGCAGTATCACAGCCCTCACACATATCAAATGAGATCTGTGTGGCGCATATGTATTTGGTACCTTCTTGTACCAATATCTATATGTCAAAATAAATAAAATAAAAGAACCATTCTGCGATGTAGGTAACCGGGAAGTGATAACTGCCCTCATACTTCTAACAGCACTTAAGACCACTGTATTCATAATCAACCTTCCTCTTCAATTCCTATTATTCCTCTTATATTGACTGACTGGTAATAAAAAATATTAATATAGTAAACTGCTTCTATGTCACTTTATGCATATAATAAAATGGAAAACTCTCTCGAAGTAAATTCTATTCCAATTTCATACCTTAATAATCTATCTATTGAATGATACAATATTTAAAACGTAATCAACGTGAATATTTTTTTGTTTACAGATGGAGAATTCAACCATTTGTACAGATAGTGTGAACAACCTTCAATATTATTCACCATTAATAGTATTTCTATTATTACTTATAGTTACTATGCAATTATATATGTAGATGAGTTAGAGAATCAGAGGAACAATAATAATAATAATATTTTAAAGTTGGATCATTTTAATCATTACTCTCTTATTTGTTATGTACACAATGAAATGATTATTATTATTATTAGAAAACAAAACAGGACAACAACAACAACAAAAAGTCACCCCTTTTAAAATTTGATGTTTCTTATATCATTGAAGGTGTATACATACATATATAAGAATATTATTGATGTATATAAATTATTTACAAAGATTGAATTTGGTAGGAGGGAAATGAGGGAAGTGAAGAAGAAAGAAGAAGAAAAAGAGAAAAGATTAATTACAATTATTGCGAATACTATTACTACTATTACCATTACTACTATTAATACTATGATTATGTAACTAATAACAATAACAGTAATCAGTAATAGTGATAGAGATTATGTTGAATATGGGAAATGGGGAAAAACAATGAAAGAATTATGAGAATAAAGAATTTAGTACTGACAGATGTATGTATATTTCCATACATATATATGTAACAATCATTAGAATAGTATTTCCATAAGGAGTAATAAAATAATAAGATGAACTAATAATCTTCATCAATTTGGCATGGTATAATAAGAAAATTAAATTCAAGACACACTAAGACCAGACCAGTAAATAATAACAGATAGATAGTACTGATTAGATGGGAAATAAAAAGACACATATTAAGGTTATAATAGTATTGTGCAGAATGGTGTATTGAATATACCACTGTGCAAAACATGAACAATGCGTACGTAAATATGCGTAGATAAACACAAATAGATATACTTTTTTTATTAAAAAAAAAAAGTAAAAGACGAGCTATTTATATGTACAAGATCGTTCTGAATGAACCGTTTTTGTTTGGCGCCATTAGTAAAGGACATGACATATATAGATGTATAATGAATATGTATACAAGGAAAAATTATCAATTTGATATCTAAGCAAAAAAAGGGGACTAAACCATAGCCACAAAACAAATCTGATAAGCAACATAGATACAGGAGAATTTTGAGACCTGACAACTCAGTATACTGCAACGTAATGATGGAGTAAAATAAGTGGGGGGTAAACAGAGGTTAAAAGTCTTAGGTTTCTGTAATGCTACACATATTTATGTTACAGAATAGGTCTTTTATTTTAAAAAAATACGCAAGAGGAAAAATACATGCGCAAAACAGTTCCTAGCTGAGGTCGCTCACTAATCAAGCAATAATTCCATATTAAGTAATGAACATATCGAAGGATATAATACAATTAAAAGTTAACCATTTACTCCGGCGACTGTTTCTTGCGGCCAATTGATTTCTAGGTCATCTGAATCATTGATTGTATAGAATTCATCGGGACCGGGTATATAGCCAGGAACAGAATGAGGCGCTACATTGGAACTGGATACTGATGATCCTATATTAGAAACACCTATGTCACTCACACAGGTAGATCCGGATGGACTTAAACAATTATCCTGACTGACTGTTCCTGGGATAACATTTAGGCTTGTATGCCGAAAATTTACATTCCCGGCTGGCAACGTTCGACTAGAACTGTAGGATCCAGGGATACCATTTGCTGACTCACCATTACTTTGATTTATCATCCTATGATTAAGGTGGCGGATATTTGTTCTGGTACGTAAAGAGCCTGTACTTAAACGATGTTCATTTAGTGTAGGGTTAGAATTATTAGTCAAGGAAATACGTGAATTATGACCATTGGTTTCATTGCCGTAACTAATCATATAGTAGCCGTAAACAGGATGTCCGCCCACTTCGGAAACTATTTGATTGACATCAGTTTCATCATCATCTACTCCTGGTGGTAGTTCAGTATCATCATCTACAGCATGTAAATCAACGGGTCGAATATTATCGCTACGATTCGATCCAGTATAACAAGAATAAATTCCAGATAAACTAGGTGAAGACGATAAACGAGTTCCGGTTGAAGGATGAGCTGATGGTAAATCTATACCAAGCTCTTCAGCAAATGCATTTATTGTCCCATGATTATTGCTTCTACGTACTGCTGAAGCCACAGAGTCCATAAATGCAGCGGTATCAGCAACGTCACAAATCATTGTATTACCTTGAGTGTCCACGCTATTTAATCGACTACTAGTATTGATCAAAACAGGATGAGGATTTGAATGTCGCTGTGGTGTAATTCTATGGACTGGTCCCGGAGAACATCCAAATGTTGGATGTCCACGTGACTGAAGTAAGCCATCAGTAGTAATGTAAGCTTGATCAATAGAGAATTGATCGAAAGGTTGATTTGTAGTTCTGTAGGATGGAGATGCAGTATTGTTCCAATTCTGAACACGATGATGACGACAATACATGTGATCTGGATATGGTAAAGAGTATCTAAATACGGAAAAACACATTGACATCATATGATTTTGTATATAAGAGAATAGTAAAGAAAGGTCATTCGATTAAACGTTTGTATAGAAGAGGTTTAGATATAGAACACACAATGGACTAAAAGAAACACGAGAATGATAGACAGAATAATACATCACATTTGAGATTGATCTTTTATATCTGAACGAAGGCATCAAATGAGATTTCGTTAATTAGAATAAAACGAAGTTGCTAACGAATAAATCATATAGGAGGTACTTGTTATACTGTTAAGACACTACTAAAAGAACAGTAAGCGAACAAGATAATGAAAGAGTGAGTTTACAGTGACCAATATATTAGGTGAATATCTGTACATATATGTCGCGGCAGTACAACCTAGTGTTTAATGTTAACCTAAGTGAGAGATCGATGGAAGCAACTTCAAAGTCAAAAATGAAACACGTTGATGACCATAACTTTCAGTTTCGAAACAAGAAACTTTACAAACTACTAGCTTAGATGGCTGGAAGCGATCAATAGGAAACCCTAAAACTGCTGTAATGCTAATGTTAATTGCACATCGAGTAGTAATCAATGTTATATTTATTTAGTTCTTAATGTTAATTGAATTCTGTTAGGCAAGTTTCAATGTGGACACTAGTATAAGTGATTCAATATCGTGTGCAATATGTTTTAGTATTAGGTGTTTGGAAGCAATCAGGAAGAATATCTGGATCCAGTTTCTGTGCTAGTTGCTACCAGTTGGTTTGGTGTACCTGTAATCTTGAGAGAATTGACACGTCTCTACGAGATTCAAACTCGTTTCTCAGCCCATAAACAGCATAGTGGTAACGCCTCAGGCGGACGCCCAAGTGTGATGAGAATAACGAGTTCCCATGGATAACCAGCATTTCCAGAGACGCGTAAAATGATATGGAATCATAATGAAAAACATTCTGACTAACTCATTCATTCACATCATATACACCTTAACAAAAGCTAGAAAAAAGTAAAGAGCTCTTTTTATGCAAGACTGTAAAGAATGTTGGAGGTACTAAAAGTCAGCTTCCAAACGCACACTCGAACAATATCCTGCCTAGTTATCAAGATGAAAATGTAAAACCAAAATTTTTTCTAATCTAACGTTAAATAATGACTATCTACATAGCCTTAGATCTTTGTATGCCTTTCAGAATCTGCGGGTAAACATGAAGTTTCTTAAATAAGATATGTGCTAGTTCACGGGACAGTTAAGGCAATTAGAAACGGAACTATGAATCATCTGTGTTTAGTTTTTAACTGGTGAGTTGTGGAGTTAACACTTGACCAAAAAGACTAATGATAGTGTAGTCAGATAGCTTCGGCAGCTGATAAAAGAGATACTGCACACAGCTTACGTGGGGTTTCGAAAAAAACATATTTCTGAAGTGATTATGGCAACTTCAAACATGGATAATTATAGTATAATAGTGGTTGGAATATAAAAATGAAATAACTTCAGAACGGTTCCATACTTTTGATCAATAGAGTCTATGGTCATGACATGAACAAGGGACTGCAGGTTTTGTTAGCGGGATATAGATTGGATTAAAGCATGTTCCGTGCAAGATTACATGGCGGAATACTGATTGGCTATTTCTTATTTAACCAATGCTATTGAATAATTGGAAAAGACTCTAGAATCTTCTCATGTAAAAGCTGTAAATATACTAACGTTTTTCCGATTGTAATTCCTATTTACATTCACCTTTGCTATTTGGAATAATTTAGTTCCTGTTTAATATTGTTCTAATCTGGAGACTTGTCGAGTGAAGTAGTGTCCAAGAATACTAAGCAATAGGAATAGCTGAGAAATTATAATAGGTTCTATAGCTCGAATTCGATGAGAATACAAACAACAATAAATATTTCACAGATATAAACTTACGGGATAGGATTAGCTTCACGGGGTGAAATAGCAGTTATTGAAGGACGGAGATTAGGAACAGCTGAACGAACGGAGCAGCGAGAACTGGAGGAGGTTGTAAATATGAAATATAAAGTGAACAGAACAATCAACTGTGTGTATTTCGGTTGTTATAAAGTTCGGCTTTTTATCACTAAATAGCCAACAATTTGATTCCAAACGGAAATGATAAAGTCAATTCAATGTACAATAAAACCTAGATTTGTATAACTTCAGATTATAAAAATCTGTCCAAATGAAGTGGTGCAAAACGGACTGATAACTTGATGAAATTATGAGTTATCGAAGTAATTGGATACTATATTTTAAAACCCGGACCCACAGTCCTTTATTGCCTTAAATCATTAAGCATCAACGAACTTTATGAGTGATAAGTATTATAACTGCACAATTGACCAGAGTGTGACAATGGTTTGAAATTCTAGTTTAGGATTTATAATAACGATAATGGAAATAATGAAACTAAGTGGCCGATTGCATATTCGTGTAGGAGCATTACCTACTATGTCAAATTCAATAATAACAACCAGTCGCTTACAGAATGGGTAAGGCAAATTCAAACACCGCTTAATACTAAAGTCATCAACGATGTTCATACACAGGCTACGAACGGTGGGAATAAAGGTTTAGAAGGACAAGGACTACAAAAATTGAACTAGTAGGAATGGACAACAAATCTTATTATTACCGTGCCTACGAAATCAACGTTTAATACTGAATTTTGTAACAGAGAATATTTATGAAAATTCCTAGGTACTAGAATTATCACCCGAAAGAAATTAATGGAGATATTCATAATGTTGCAGCGGTCCAGATACACGTGTTCTCTTCTTCAAATTAAGAATATTCTACATTTTACACCCATTTTTTCTGCCAGTTTTAGACCACTGTTGGTCTTATTATCACTGTATCCAGAAGTTGCAGCAGACGGTCATCATTATTTGTTCGCTGAGCCGGAATACCAAAATACCCATGCAAATGTCTTTCTGTTTGTTTTAAACTACCTACTTACGCATTAAAGTCACCTGCGACTAGTACTATGTCTGAACGTTTAGCTTTCTGAAGAAGTTCAGAAAAATTCCTGTAAAATTCATCTTTCACTTTATTCGGGCTACAATCAGTGGGAGCATAGGTAGGAACTACGAAAAGGCAATGACGTGTGTCCCTATCCTTCCGAGTTCTTACGGGACCGTTTAGTCGAACAGTACATAAAACTGTTAACAAGGATCCATTCTAAAAATGCTTATTCTGTCCTCGTACTTAGTGCTATGCGTAAACGGCGAGTGTATCTCCTCGGTTCCCCGTTTTGGAGAGGTGAGGCAAATTGAATGATCACACTAGGATCCTGTATGTGTGTGTTTCGGAGACACAGCATACATCAATGGTACGAGAATCTAGCGTTTTAGCCAAGAAGGCCTGCTGGTCGATATGACACAGGGTGCGTACGTTGAAGGCTTCAATGTGTAGTTTGGAGCGAGGTTTCAGTAGACTTGGGAGTTTCGCGCACTAGAATGGTCACATTTGAGAAAGAAGTTAAAAAAGGAAGTTTAGAGTTGAAATTGGTGGTAGAAGGAATAATAGGGATTGAAGAGGGAAACTGATTATGAATATAGTTTTCACTTCCCGGTTGACCACACCGTGGAAGGGTTTTTCTGGAGGTACCTGAAAAGGATTAGAGGTGGTCTTAGTGACCTGAGAGTGTGACCACAATGCCAAAACTACAACTGCTTGAGGTCGGTCACATACAACCTTTTTGTGAATAATCTTCGTGTTAGCTCCATACTTGTTGAGACCTTATTTCAGAAGACGGAGAGCCGTAGGATAAGGTGAGATGTGCATTTTACGGTCGACCATTCCCAACAAGTCTGGTGAAGCAATCTGTGGAGCTGATGGGATGCCAACCAATAACATCTACCGACGTCTTGGACGATGGGCAGAGAGTTTCGAAGAGCAGTTTAACTGGTCTGTTGCCTAAACGTCATCGATCACGCTGTCCTTTCCTCCATGGCCAATGACGACTGATCCACCTAACGCGGCGAAAGTCCGCAACGAACTCAAACCCTGAAGCGGGACAAATCACCAGGCCCAGACGACTTACCTCTAACCCTTTTTAAAAATGGCGGAGACTTTCTGGTAAGGCAACTGACTAAGTTGTTTACAAATGTCTGGCGATTAGAGAGTCCCAGCATCGTGGAATGAGTCGATAGTTATCCCTATTTTAAAAAGGGTTCACGTCATCTATGTAACAACTATAGAAGAATAAGTCTACTTCTGATCGCGTTCAAACTGTTGGCTGGTTTTCGTTATGGTCGAGAATATATTGACCATATCTTCATCCTCCGCCAAATGTTAGAACACCGTCATACTTATCACAAGCCAACATTCGTCGTTTCTTGACATTAGGGTTGCCTTCAATTCGTCGGACAGTGATGTCCTCTGGGATTTTCCATTGAAGAAGGATGTGCCTGAGAAATATACTAACGTCATGAAAACCCTATATACAAACACCTCGCGTACAGTGAGGGCATACAACCACCTCTATCCATTGTCCTATTCAAGCAGTGGGGTTAGACAGGGTTGCCCAATCTCATCGTTCTTATTAAACTTTGCCATAGATGACATTCTGGAAACAGTTCTGATGGATGTAGGTAATGGTAATGCGGCTCTGTTACCTAGAGAGAATCTTGAGTAGACGGATATTATTTTATTGTGAGATGATAACCAAGCCATGGAACCCACACTTAATCGGTTGGCAATCAGTGTCCGTAGGCATATGTGCTTTACACCTACTAAGCACAAAGTACTTTTACAATACTGGCAGGACACTGTGCCTACACTCACTCTTGGTAGTCAGCAGTTAGTAGTTGAGTAGTTTGTGTATCTGGATAACTGTGTAAGTGCTGGTGGTGGCATAAATGATAAAATCAATTCATGAATAGCGAGAGCCAGAGCGAGTTATGTTAACCTGTGTCATCTTTGGCGTCTTTATGATGCCAGTTCGGCTGTAAAAGGTCGGGTCTACAACGCGTCGGTGAAAGCGGTTATGCTTTGTTTGTGAAACCTGGCCTCTCCAAGTTGAGGATGTTAAGCGGCTGTGTTTGGTCATCGTTGTCTCCAAATGATTGCTTATATCTAGTGGTAACACAGTTTTAGTAAGGAGGAGCGACGAAAACTCAACTGCTGACACCATCTTGAAACACCGACTTCGGTGGTCTGGATGCATGCTACGAATGCCGTCTCATCAAATTCTACATTGTTTGCTAACACTAGGATTGGCTGGAAAAATCACAGAGGTGGTCAGTGTATGATATGATTTAGTTCTATGAAAAATAGCCACGAAAGGCTGGGGTTTGTTGATACTTCACAGTTCCCTGGTTGGGGTCCTAGAGATAATGCAATACAGTGGCTGTCCTGCTGTAATTATTGACTACTTTCTTCATATAAATGAGAGGAACGACCGATGTTTATGTTGAAATAAATAAATCCTTCTGTTGTGCTGATGTGGACATACACAACTCGAAATGACATAGGTTCCACATTACCTGTCTGGTTAAAATTGACTTACACAATAATATTACTTGTGAGTAGTAGATTATTATATTTAAACGTTTTCGCTAAGAACTGTTATCAGTTGAAGAATCTGTTATGATTTGTGCTGGGATTTGACGGTTAGGTAATAACAATAAGACTAATACGATGATGTACAGAACCCGACTACCTTATATATAATGGCAATAATACACTGACGAGACACAATCGCGGCTAACTGGTATTTGCAAGAGATCCTTTGTGTGTTGAGAAAGTCAAACGACATATATACATACTCTACCCATCATGTAGGGCTTATAAAACTTTAGAATCTATACAGTCCAATCAATCAAATGATCAAAAATAAAGGGCCTTTATGGTTTCATAACGACGATGATAGTCGATAAGCAAAAGTCAACGTTTAAAAAGGAATGCAAAGAACAAAAATATGATTACTGGGGTGGCTTACAACATGGGACCTGAAAACCAGAGAATCAAGCAGATTTTTCGTTCAGGTCCAGAAATTCAGAGTAGTGAGTATCCACGACAGTACAAGAAATTGAACCTAGTGTATCAAGATCTAACGTGTGTGCGAAAGACAACTTAAAATTGAGTGGACTTCTACAAACCACCTAACTAAATAGTAAGTGTGCTGCTTAATACATTTCCAGAAGTTATGACGAAAAGCTGTAGCCAAAAGCCTCAATCAACAGGTGAGGTATTTAGCCATCATCGATTGTTCCACTTTATGCAATGACCGAATTTCAAGCAGAACCATGGATTTCGACGGAAAAACTAAAAATAGCGTTGTGTCCGTGTTGATACCTTAAGGTATTGAGTTTTATTCCGGGTCGAGTCGTGGGTGAGAAATGCTGAGTCTGAGATCAGGACACAAAGGTTGTGTACCGATTTTCTATTTTTAGCGCTTCTTCAGCTGACGTCAGTATTCCAAAGAAACATTCCTTTAAATTTAAAAAATCTCCGTAATCGACCTAATTTATGGTATTATTGGAAAGTTGAAAAACAGTGGACGTACTTGGTATGTTTTAGCTTGCAGGATTCTGAACAGTATTTCTCACCAGGAATAGCCGCCAGCATGCAAGCAGGACCTGCACAATGTGCCATTTCTGGAAGCACAATGTCATCATCCGAATCGTTGTCCACAAAATCCATAGGTTCATCAGTGTTAATGGGGTAAATATTTGGTATAGATCCTTTACTGCGAGAATGTGGTTGGAGACCTGACAAAAAGAGTGGAAGCACTTTGTTCATATGAAACTTAGCAAAATAAAATAAATTTAATGTTAAGTTTCGCAACAACTGACTTCCGTTTGGACTTATTCGACAAGTTTAATGCAGCCAATGAGGCAGGTGCATTTTAAAAGATGTATGACATTGTTTTATTTATACTAGTTGAAAAGACTTAGAAAAAGTAACTGGCAATTGAAATTTGTTCTGCAACCAAATAAAATTTTACAAGTGAGACAAGACAGCCATCAATTTGAAAAAGACACAAGTCTATGTACAATTTAGGTGGTTATATCTCAAAGTACGGAAGTAAAACGAATTCAAAATTTACCAAAAACGATTGAGGTTATGGTTTGCTGATAGTAAAATACTCCAGATGTCTTTTATTGTCAGACAGTAACACAAGAACCATTTGAATGGTATGTGATCCATACTAATAGGGTCATAATTTGAGCTGTATACAGAACTCCTGCAATGATTCAACTTATACGCTTAGTGAAAATAACTCCATAAAATGTAATTGTGAATTCTAAATGAAATAGAAAATCCAGAAATATGACTAACCGAATTGGTATGCCGATTAATTGTTTGCAAAAAACGAGGAGATACATAGCTGCTATTAGATCGTAGATAACTTAATGGAGCTGACTTATCATTTTAAGAAAAATATTTAGGCGGGACACTACTTTAGGGACGACCTTTGAAGGAATCTTAAATGACCTTGACAATTATTAGCCAATCAGAAGACAGGTAATATCATGTAAAAATATATTATAAGAAAGTAATGCATTACAGTGGATATCCTTCATTTACATGATTTAAAAACTTGTTAAGGTTTGATAAAGGTTCAGAATTCATAATGCATATGGTATAGAAACTCGTTTATAGGGTTAGGGTGTAAACATACGATCAGTTTACAACGGATTTTAGAGAAGAGGTGTTTATTGAGCGGCTACAACCCTAACCCTATGGACGAGTTTCTATACCATATGCATTATGAATTCAGAACTTCTGAACCTTTATCAAACCTTAACAAGTCTTTAAATCATGTAAAAGAACATCCACTGTAACTCATTACTTTCTTATAATATATTTTTACTTTATACTGTCTTCTGATTGGCTAATAATTGAAATTGCTCAAACGCTTCTGATTGGCTCGTCCCTAAATTAGTCTCGCCGTCCCACTTGTTGTAACCTCTCATTATTCACTTTCTCTCTAAAATCCGCTGTGAAACGATCGTATGTGAGCATCGCGTGTTGAACTTGGCTCCGTGACCTTGAAATTGCTCAAACGCTTCTGATTGGCTCGTCCCTATATTAGAGTCCTGCCCCCTACAGGAGATTAATTTCAGAGCGAATAGCTCAACAGCAACAACTCGGGAAATGAACCTAGGCAATGCGTGTTCTTACCCATCAGTAGGCATCAGTTCTCTCAAAACTACAACTATGTTTTCCTGTTGAGTGTCAAATAGCACGGAAATAAAGTTTGGGGTTTCTTCAAACACATAACATTTCAGCAAAATGGATGCGACGTCGAGTTCGTTAGACCAGTGACAATATTTTAACTCGATTGATACAATTCGATAAGCACTGAAGGACTATACAAACACGGGACTGGTCAGTGCTCAATAATCAATCAATTGTCACGTAGTTTTTGAATTTGTACGAATGAATGTGTACTGCTAGAGTTGGACGCAAGCTAATATACATGTTTCAAATAATAGTGATATTGTGGTCGGGACATGCACTGGACATCCCGATGAGCAATGCACGCTGACACTCAATTAAGGTGGAGAAAGTTCGGGGTCGGACAAATCCAGACATAGAATCAATCTATGAAATTATTTACTGTAGCGCTGGAACGAGTCAATACGTTCAAACTTCCGAGTTGGAGTCTGCGTAATATCTTCAATTTATGGTTGAACATCGTGTAACACGACCTCAAGCATTGAATTCACATTTATTTTGCAGTTTTCATAAAATCTTGAACTTAGTTTCATTTTATACTTTCCAGACTGGTTACTTTCGTCCTTTGGAAACTACTTATCGTGATTAGCCTCCCATTAGATTAATTGTTATTTGCCTCTCAGTTTACTGTCATGTTGATTTCCGCTTTCGCTGATCTGCGGAGAGAACTGGAACAAATACACATTCGTTCTTGCTCCTATAGCGACTATGACTGATATTTACTACATTTTGAGGTGGTTAGTGATAACAGCTGGTTATCAAATCGAAGTAGGTGGTGAGTAGTTTAGACATGTAACTAAATACATGAACATTGTCTAAGCCACGAGGTTATTGCTTCACAATGAATTAATGAAACAAATAAGATAGGTTTCGTCAAGAGATATTACCGAAAGTGTTATTTATTTATTTTAACACATAGATATTGGTACAAGGAGGCACCAAAATACACATGCGCAACACAAATTTCATTTGATATGTGTGAGAACTGCGATACTGCCCGGGTGCCCATACCGAAGCAAGTGGCTTTCTTAGGGGGCCGCACCAGGAGCATTCGACCTGAAGGTCTGATCCACAAGGCAGTGTAGCATCGTAAGGAGATGCAGTTCCATGGTGGCCGGTGACCGACAATTGGTTCATACGCCATTTGTTCCTTCAGGATACTGGAGCCAGCCCATGTGCATCATTGGTTTGGAACCAGGGTTTTCCAACTCCCCTAGGTGGACTCTCCATGTCCACCAACCCGGTTAAGGCGCCGGACATTCGCTTTTCGTCCTCTTATTTTCGCAAACGACACCCGTGGTACGAGAAGGTAGTGAGTAGGACTTCCCTGACGGAGGGTATATACGCGTGACCATGTGAGAGCATTTCGAGAGGGAGAGCGGACTTTTCTTACTTTCGGTCGTATCAGGGCATTTGGAGGCTAGAGAAAAATGTAACTCACTTTGTGAATAAGAAGCAAATATTACATGAAAACGAAAAGTGGAACAAAAAGTAGACAGAAGATAAGGCAGCAACTCATAACGTGAGATTATTGATCAACGGTGCTTATGGGCATCGCTCAGGTTCCTGTGTGTGTGTGTTCTTCCATTGTTCCGTTGTACTATTTAAACTTGGATTAATTTTAATTTGGTTATTTATTCTCTGAAGAAGTGACTTACACTAAGTCACGAAACGTCAGAAAATCCAATTTTCTACTCATTGGGATATTACAAATATATTATTTTTATTTATGAAGTCATTTAAGTTGAACTGGACGAATAAACCGATGAAGTGAACATGCGTTTACAGGCAAACAAAACCACTGAAATTATTTTCCAAAAAATGAGTTCGTAAAGCATAAGGCCTTGAAACTGCTAGGACTGATTAGGCTCGATACACATCGTTACTTCAATTGATGAAATGGTGAAACCTCATCAGTTGAGATGGCTGAGATAAATGTTACGTATGCCCAACCACCGACTGCCCCGAGGTGCGATGTTTCATGGTGCAGCAGTAAGTTGGAAGAAAGCTGGAGGCGGCAACACCAACACATGGCACATATTCATCAAGCCACTGACAAGTGGACTGAGCCATGTCGGTAGATGCAGATTATTTGGTCGGGATACGCGAGACAATAGCAACCGATGGTTGGAGACCTTGAATGACATGATTCAGATTCGTTTTCAATTGCGCAGGTGTATCCACTCTTTGTGTATTGCTAAATTCTAATTTTCTGAATTCTTCATGTCCTTTATTTTCTTTCCAAATTTATTTCACTGAATTATACTTGTTGAATAACATCTTCCAACCCCGATGTTTACGATTACTGATTATACTTTTACTATCTCTATCACTATGGGATTCGAATCGACAACTGCATGTCTGTGCTAATGTGGTATGGCAACTTGAACTGATGTACGTACGTCCGCTCTCCCTCTCGAAATGCTCTCACATGGCCACGCGTATAAACCCTCTGTCAGGGAAGTCCTACTCACTACCTTCTTGTACCACGGGTGTTGTTTACGAAAATGAGAGGACGAAAAGCGAATGTCCGGCGCTTTAACCGGATCCCAAACCAATGGTGCACATGGGCTGGCTCCAGTATCCTGAAGGAACAAATGGCGTATGAACCAATTGTCGGTCACCGGCTACCATGGAACTGCATCTCCTTACGACGCTACACTGCCTTGTGGATCAGACCTTCAGGTCGAAGGCTCGGGGAGTGGCCCCCTAAGAAAACCACCTGCTTCGGTTTGGGCACCCGGGCAGTATCACAACTCTCACACATATCAAATGAGATTTGTGTGGCGCATATGTATTTGGTGCCTCCTTGTACTAACATCTATGTGTTAAGACAATAATAAAAAATAAGCATTGCTTCATCACCTAACGAATGCATTTATACATTAAACGAGTGATTTAGGTAACTTGGGAATGTAATCCCCACAATATATCTATAGGTGTTCTAAAGCTTAACACATTGATACGAAAGCAATCAGTTTCACTAAATCGCCTTCTGAGAGCTAAGTTGTGGACTTCAACTCCTGGGTGGGGCATAGGTTTAGCATTCCTACGTACTTCAAGAAGTTGACGATATAAATACGCTCAAACGAGTAAGCTCTAACATTGACAGATATATATTGGCGATTTTTAGTTTTCTTATTAATAGTTAGTCCAATGATAGTAATTATATTAATGACTGAAGGTCAAACGCCCTAGCCAATACATGATTGCCCTACTGTCCATTTAGGCGGAAGTAAACAGAGAAACTAAGAGTACTATTCAGATCACATAAGTAATCGAGACACCCAATATTACCCACATATTTAAGATTAAGAACTCTACCGTGGACTGTTAATCAATAGTAGAAAAAAATGGCGTATGTTTGCCTGTGGAATAGGTTAGTATAGTTGTGAATACACGAAACCAAACTACAGTTTGGCTCAGTCATAAGAACTACCATCAGAGTCGCAATGTTCACGTGATTCAAAACGACACCCCTGAAACGTTAATGCACGAATGCTATCAAGAAAGTTACGAAACACTGACATAAGTTTCTCTGAGATAAGATTCTTTACTCTGAATGCATGAGGTGGTATTTCTTGACTTAAAAGTTACATTTGACTCTGCAGACCGAGAGGTTTTGTATCAGTGTCTGTCATTGAAAGGCATACCTCAGAAGTACATAAAACTTGTAAAGGCTCTTTACTCGAACACTACTAATCGAGTGAGAGCTTATGGAGAACTGTCATCTGATTTTGCAATCTCAATTGGTGTCCGTCAAGGCTGTCCATTATCTCAATTTTTGTTCAGTTTCATCATAGACCTACTACAGGAAATACCGTTCTCGTCGACTGAAATCTCGAACATTGATCTCTCTCCAGGAGGTTCACGTATCGACTTAGAATACGCAAATAACACAGTCCTGTTTGATGAAGACGCTGATAAATGCAGAGTATTTTGGTAGCACTAAGCAACAATGCCAGGATGTTTGGGATGCGCTTCTCTCCATCAAAATGCAAGTTGTTGCCTCAGGACTGGCTTGTGTCAACACCTGAACTAAGGATAGGGAGTGATGTAGTCAAACACGTCGAAAACTTCACTTATCTTGGAACTATGATCAGCCCTAATGGGTTAGTGTCTGACGAAATATCAGCACGGATTCACAAAGCTCGTTTGGCTTTTGTCAATTTATGTCACCTATGGCGAGGGGCGATATATCCGTCTATCAATTAAGGGACGAGTATACTGCGCGGCAGTTCGTTCTGTTCTACTTTACGGCTGCGAAACGTGGTCAATACGAGAAGATACTCTTAATTTATTAGTATTTGATCACAGATGCCCTAGAAATATTGCTCGCATCTGTTGGGACCACCGGGTAAGTAATAGTGAGTTGAGGTGTAGGGTATTAGGAGATGATGGTAAATCAGTCGATGAGGCTGTGAATCTTCATCAACTGAGATGGTTGGGCTACGTGTTGTATATGCCTGAACACTGGTTACAAGGACACGCAATGCTGACTAGTGTTGGGGATGGTTGGAAGGAAGTTGGGGGCGACCAGTCATGTTGGTAGATGCAAACAACTTGGTTGGGGTACGCGTGACTATCGTAACCAATGGTAGACTGTGAATGGCATGGCTCAGAATCGATCACAATGGCGTAGATGTATAAACTTTATGTATTCCCTTAGACCGTGAGATTGAAATAAATTTATACCTTTCTTTCTACGAAATAATTCTTTCTTCTTGCATTATACCTTTATATGTAACCTTTTCTTTTTACAGATTACTACAATTGAATTAACTACTATGAATTCGGTGTTCATCTTGTTGTGCTAATGAGTGAGGTGTGGCAACTGGGACCGATGCATATATGTGCTTGGTCCTACGTTGTAGCTGGTTTACTGAATGCATGAGGTCAAACAATTACTGGTTGATCTGAAAAACGAAATATGACACTGATTATTGTTTTTTTACTTTTATGCTTGAGAGAACAGATGATCTAAATGTAGCGTCTTTAGTTGTTTCAGACTGATTATGTGGAATCGACTGACTACCACTGTTGCAAGAGTTTTGAGCTGCAACGCAACAATTACTGAAAGCGATAGTTATTGTGAACAGATGCATTAGCAGACCTAAAATTTCAATTATTCCTAGGTTGGTCAAGTAATTTTTCTAACCGATCTTTCAACAATGGGATACAACATTCTGATTCACTTTTGTTCTTGATTTGTTATACAAGCGAATATCTGTCTTAAAATACCAGGACCACTGGGACTGTTTGTCACAGAATGTGCATTATTCACAATCTGCTCTTTTCAAGACTGTTTACAACTGTGTCCGTGAGTTAGCTTCTATCGCTCAAAATGTTTGCATGCTATATCATCAGGACAAACATCATACCCATAGAGAATTTCATCTGAACGGAGATCAAGACAGTTTAAGTTGTCTTTTAAACAGCCAAGTTTTCCCAAATACTTATTTACAATATCGCGAGTGACCAGAGAAACGACTGATCTTTGGGAAATATGATTCGAAAAGGTTTATACGTTTATCACTGGATAGATCGTCATTGACTTATTTAATTACGTTTAATATTACTAGATAGTATTAAACCATAGTCGATAGCATTTGTCATTACTATAAGCAGAACCTCATACTAAAAGAAAACTACTGAATTTTGCGTTAGAATATCTATACTGAAAAGATAAATACTGTACTTTACGAACCCAAGTTTATCAAAAATAAGGCATTGGGTTTATTAAAATGAGAAATCTCAGAACTTACCATCGTGACTGAATCGTCCAAAAAGCCGATGAGTAATTCCGTCAATTTCATTAGTGGCTGGAATACGGTGGTCACCTCTACGCATTTTGCTGCCCAATGGAGCTGAACTTGCAGAGTGATGAGACAAAAACGACTGTGTAATATTATCAGAATATGGTCGTGGGGAAAAATCTAGCGGCACTTCGAATTGTTCGTCATCAAAATCCGCATACGATTGCATATGAGGTGGCGGTGTATCCATAGGTGCAGACTGTATCGGTGGCTGTTTACGGCGACGAGAACCAACACCTTGAGAAGAATTAGAAGGATTCCTGCTGCGAGAAGCATTCATTCCAGCACATTGTCTTAACCTACATTTTTGACGCATTTTGTTGGGGCCACCGAATTTTCTTCTGTCTCTACAATATTCACATTTTCCGCAATCTTCCTGTATGCTGCAGCCCGTGCAATTACCGCAAGGGCGTAAACGAGGGGATCCAGACCGCTTTTTAGGGACAAATGTGCTAGACAACTTTTGGTCTTCTCCAAGTCCAGACTGTTCTCGTCCCCAGTATACGCGATTATACACAGCTGAAGTACTTGAATCTGAGGCATTAGGTGATCTAGGAGACGTGTCAGGACCAGGAGAATTGAATTTGCGTACATTTCGAGGCGGCAAATGTAATGTGTGGTCGATTGTATTAGAGCGAGTACCAGTTTCTACAAGAAATAAATGTCTATATAACACACTACCTGAGTTACTGACTGGGGCATCTGGAGGTCTCCGTTTTCCCTTGGACTGTTTACCTGATGAAAATTGGTCTGTATAGGTACTGACATCGTTATTAGGACTTAAACTCGGACGATTTTGTCTTGGTCTCTGACTTCTTGTGTTTTTATATTCGATCTCTAAAGATGGATTCCTACCTACTCGAACAATAGACGAAATTCTCGGACACTTACATCGACATTGAGGACAGTAAAAAGTTTTTATTTGCTCTGCTTGCTTAGGAGTGACATTAATGCAATCTCCGTGATACCATTCCTCGCATTGGTCACATGCTCTATAGACTTATTACCATTCCTATAAATAACTCACATCATGAATCGTTCAACGTCAGAAGAACGACAGACACAATAAACTTCATCCACGTTTTTATCAAACTCCTCATTCACAGTGTTTTTTTTGCCATTGTTCTTACGCCGCTTTTGCATATTTGGTGGTTACTTTGGGGAATCGGTAAAATCAGCAAACAACTTTGAAGTTTACCACTTATTAAGTATCATACTGCAACACAGCCTATGCAAGAAGTAATCAATAAAACACCATTAAGTGGGCAAACTACTTCAATTTTTCCTATTAGCGAAAGATTTTGATTAAGGCGCCCGTAATGGTCGTCAGCAAATTGAACTAACTACTGCAATTACTTTAGGTTAAAAATATGGTGATTTCACAAAGAAGATGATCTTTAAATAGAACGAACCAGATAGATGCTTTTAGTACGCGACCAATTTAGGCATTTAAAGAATGCGCTGAAGTTGGTGGGTAGGTGGTACATGGTTTGTGTATTGCTAACAAACTGCTTCAGTTTACTGGAAATTTCGTTGCCTAAAGACCATGGAAATAGGATCACGAAGTATCTGAAATAATTACTGAGTCGCTTGGATGTAATCCAGATTTCACCTCGATCTCCCTTAGGAGATTATAGATGGCAGATTTCTTCAATCAAACCTCAGTGAAATGAATTGATCAAGCAAACTATATTAATCATCAGGGTTAGCATTTCTCTGAATAACCAATCTCTCCTTGAACATAGAAATGTGATGATTAGTTATTTGCATAATATGCATGAAGTCTACATGCCTTCATTAGGAAGTCGTGTTACACGATGTCCAACCATAAATTGAAGATATTACGCAGACTCCAACTCGGAAGTTTGAACGTATTGACTCGTTCCAGCGCTACAGTAAATAATTTCATAGATTGATTCTATGTCTGGATTTGTCCGACCCCGGACTTTCTCCACCTTAATTGAGTGTCAGCGTGCATTGCTCATCGGGATGTCCAGTGCATGTCCCGACCACAATATCACTATTATTTGAAACATGTATATTAGCTTGCGTCCAACTCTAGCAGTACACATTCATTCGTACAAATTCAAAAACAACTCTGATTAAATGTTTCTAGACCACTCATATTCTCCAGCTTTAAATGTCATGTTTCACAGACAGTTACTCCCGTGGGGGAGTGTGGGCCTCCCACCAGCATTCGCCGTCGAACTCTGTCCTGAGCAATCCTTTCCAGTTGTTGTTCATCATTTCGGTTCCTGCTTCCAATTCTCGATGCAGTGTGTTCTTTGGCCTTTCCTCTTCCCTTCAGAATTCCAAGTTAGCGCTTGCCTCGTGATGCAGATTGGTGATCTCCGCAATGTATGTCATACCCACTTCCAATGTCCTTTCCTAATTTCCTCTTCAGATGGAAGCTGGTTTGCTTCTACACCTGGCTTGAATGCCTCAGCTAGTATATTGTCAGGTCGTGATGCTTTCCCACTCTTGATTTGTCTAAGAGCCATCCGGCTTTTCCGGGTAGTTAGTGGAGTGACATCTAGAATAAGGTCTGTGTGTTCTGCTTCGATGTCCGGTGGATTATTTGTTTATTTAAACACATAAGCATTGGTACGAGGAGGTACCAAATAGATCTGCGCCACACTTCATCATTCGATTTGTGTGAGGGATGGAATACTGTTCGGGTTCTCAAACCGAAGCAGGTGGATGATGCTTCTTGCGGCCCAGATGCTCCCTACATGTTGAAGTTTGTGCTTCTCCCACTCATTTCCGACTCTCGTCCATAGTTCTTTCTTCTTTTTTTAGTAATGAAGATGATGATGTTTATAATTATGTCGATATATTCGTGATTGGAATAACCTTCTTCTATGTAAATGCGGAATGCTATATGGATCTGAATTTAATTTAATGAACATACAAAATGACTAGTATTGGACCAATATTATGCAAACAGTTGATCATGTTTTTTTTGCTGAACATAAACCTCCTCTTTTCTTCGTGATAGGTCTAGTTTCAGCTTTCTGAAAGATTATTATTTTCATGGATTTGCTTTTAACACTATATGTTATTCAAAACGATTGTTCACTTTGGCCTTCAATGTAAATTTTTGGTGTCGTTTTAAATTCATCGATTTGCTTCTCAAATTTTACAGGGACTGATATTTTGAAACCTGTGAAGTTTTTTAACTTGTTTAAATGTTAGGAACCGGATAATTTTCTGAGCTTTCTTAAAAAACATGTAATCGTCCATTACGGACATCCCCAACTAATAGCTTTCGATACCTTTTACTGAAAATGCAGAAGTAAGGACCCTATTCACTGATAAAAATATAAAACTTACACACATAAAAGTGACTTCACTTAATTCCAACACTGTAGATAAACTACTACGTGGGTCCGCAGTAAAGGAGCATTTTAATCCAGGACAGTTTGCTTCAGTTTTAAAAGAGGTGATTATTTTATCTGATGGGCGTTGCTGTTCAACTACCACTATCATTAGGCGAGATTTCCAGCGTTGACACTAAAACATGTGTAACCAACCGGTTATTCTTTCTCCTCTAGAAGAGAAAAGTATTGTTGTTGTTACTTTATTTATTTATTATTATATCTCGTAAGGAGGAAAATATTCTGCATATATTAACAAAAGGTGGTGTGCCAATTATAGTTGATCTTTTTGCTTTTGCACGCTATTTTTACAAGGTCTGGCATCTTCTGAAAAGGCCTACTTTCTAAGTGTGCTTATAATTATACTATAAGCGTGCCAGTTTCTCCCGTTTCAGATTTCCTTGAAATGAATGAGCTCTTGGCAATCATTTAACGATATTTCAAAAGATCTTGGACTTAATTTTTTTGCATGTTAACATTCGCCTGACATAAAATGAATTAATTTATTCTGTTGGGACCACACTAATTTTTTGCATTCCAAAATCCTGCAATTGAGGCTTTGCCAAATTTCTCTCATCTTGGTGTAACTGTTATGTCTTTCAGTCCTAACATGTTGAAATCGAACGACGTTTTTAACGTAACATTTTATAAAGTTGATACATTTTGTAAATTATCGTTTTCTGCAGCCCATCATTCATTCCAGGGTTTTTGAAAGACTTTATTGTGTTGCAAGGAGTCCTTAAGTCAGTTGGTAGATGAGGCTTTCGACACCAATATGAGATTACGGTTGCGGATAGACGTTTGAAATCTTTCATACTGGGAAGTGTTCTTTTACCAGATATTAACCACCGATCCCCTTTTGTATCTACCCGTAGAACGAGATGCAGATACATTAGAATTCACTTATACGAGAAGAAATAAAAGAGCTTTACTAGTTCACATAATATTTTGAATAGTAGGTTGTAAGGCTGAGCTAATCAAAAACTTGCATTCGTAAACATGCTGACAATCCACAGTTATTATTATTATTATTATTCACAAACATCATATGGGTACATAAGTGTTGTGAAGAAACCATTTCGGGTTTCTTCAGAAAATGCAATAATACACAATTTTCAATAATGTTAGCATTATACTTGCCATATTTAAAAAATAAAATAAAATATTAAAAAAAATTTCGAATAATAATAGTAGAATATTAATAATAATAAATCGGGTCCGTGTAATTGAGAAGAATATTGAATTGAGTTTAAAGAAGGAAATGGAGAAAATAAGGGAATAGAAATAAAGGAGACGTGAAATAAGCAAACAGTCTAATAGGCGTGTTTATGAACAGAGAAAGAAGAAAAAACGACCATGTGTGTATCGTTAAATTAGTAACAAAAAATAATTTATCATTGTAGTAAGATATGACACTAGAATAAATGTTTGTGCAGTTATAGTTTAGAGTGATGCTATGAAAGTCACAATTAAGTGAAAAGGATAATAAAATATCACTCTGTATGAGTCATATATGCATAGTGAAGATAAAACGAATCTGAGAAGTTAATTTAAATGTAACACAAGTTATTGTCTTAATTACAAACTTCATAATCTTAAGAATAAGATTTATTTAGAAGGGAAGAAGAGAGAGAAAAGAAGTGAACACCTAGTGCAAAAGGTTCATCCATGATAAGAATAATAATTGTGTAATGAATATCAACCTCAGAAGGAAACCAGCAATTGAAAAAAATAAAATAAAAATCCTTCAGTGCACTCGGATGAATACATTTAGATTTATGTAATAGTATACAGAATGAAACCGGATATTAGTATAAATATTTGTGCATTAATGATGAAGATTGATGCTATGAAAGTCAAAATTAATTTCAAAGGACAATCTGGAGTTAAATATGTTTAGAAGGATAAGAAGAGATAAAGAGAATATCTAATGTGTCGGGGAACTAATAATGATATTAATAACGGTAATAATGATAAACATGAACATAAGCAGACTTCATATATTAAGATAAAGAGAAATAAAACAAAATAGACGTGAAAAGATTTAAAGGTTTTATTTTGCTTTTCAAGCAATTAAATAAATGACGGACCTTGTTTGTATAAATCATTATTGAATACATTGATATTCAATAGGTGACATAATCCACTTTCGGAAAGAAAATCGTCAAGGAGACTTTTGAACCGGGTTGTAGTTTCACTGCAACGGAGGTTCACTGGCAGTCTGTTCCACATGGTTGAGTAGCGAATAAGGAAAAAATTCTGACGTAAGTTTGTGTGGGTTCTTGGAATCGCTAGAATGTTCTCCTTATTGCGTAGATTGTGGGATGATATTATAAGGTATGAAGGGGTGGATACCGATGAGTAGGAAATACCGTTAATGAGCCGGTAGATAAAGACAAGATTTAATTTGATACGTCTGATCCAAAGAGGTTCTAAGTTGAGTTGTTGACATCTTTGGTAATAGTCTTTGTTATCGGAATACCCCAGAACAGCTTTGGTGAACTTTCTTTGAACACCTTCAATTCTAATCAGATCATTATGTCTACAATTACTGTAAACTAAAATACCATATTCAAGAATGGGTAAGATACATTTTCTGTATAGTAACAATCTCGATTCGATATTATTGAAGTTTATCATTATCAATCCGATGAGCTTTCTAGCTTTGGATACTTGAGATATAATGTGTTCAGAAAAGTTCAGACTGTTGCTATATCTTAAACCCAGGTCACGAACAGTGTTGAGAGGTTTGAGTGTATGTGTCTG